AAGTTGACCAGTTCTCATGTAGGCATTATTAATCTTGTGATTGGTTTTAAAGTCTTCCTGGGCATTAAAATCACATTTGAGGAAACTAAAACTTTGATCCTTATAATGGCAATTTGATTACCTGTGTGTGTGAGTGTACACTGTTTTGGTTACTAAGTGCTCTAGTAGAAAGGATGAATTACTATAAAAATCTCAATAAAATATTGTCTTGAAATAAAAAAAAAAAAAACATAACATATTGCTTAATATGTATTAACTTTCTCAAAGAAAACCAAGTTGAGAAGGATTTACTGTTTAATAAAAAGTGAAGTAGTATTTTATCATCTTGATAGGTTAAACAAATCAGTTTATTTTTATCAAAACTTCAGTCTCCACAAAAACTTCTGTATAATCACTTTCTAAAGAATAAAATCACTCTCTACAGATTTTCTATTATCCAATTTTATAACAAATGCAATAAAAAAAATCCAGTTTGTGTTCCTAAGGACAGCTAATAAACACACTCCTAAAGCTCCCACATACACAGAAAAACACGTAAGAGAGACAGACAGACACATAGATGGGACAGGTTTGAAGCCATGTTACTGGAACATCTATGCCAGCAACATTACAACTTCCACTACCTTTTAGAACAGGAAAGATGTAGGACACAGAAACTCATGCTCATCCAGATAAAATTTAAGTTCAGTTTGGATAGACTGCCTGGTCCTGTAACAAGGACGAAAATGCTGTATTACATTACCTGGCAAATCTCTCCTTATCATTAGACAGCTGGTCATCATCACACCTGAAGGAGAAAAAAACTTATTAATTCAAGATATTATATTTACTATATCTACTTCACTCTCAAATAAAATAAAATATTCAACAGAAAAAAGCCAATGCAAGAAAAAGCAAATGAAGATATAACAGGAGCCCAGAGAACTTTAAAGCCATGACTATTACCCAAATAAATAAAAGATTTTTTAAAACTTTTTTTAATAAATAAAAATAAACTGAGCATGGTGGTACATACTTGAAGTTATAGCTACTTGAGAGACTAATGTGGAAGGATCCCTTAAACCCAGGAATTTAACACCAACATGGGTAACATAGCACGACCCCATTTCAAAAAGAATTTTTAAAAAAAGAATAAAATAAAATAAAATCTTGATTTTAATTATTTTAGGTATTTACCAGACATGGGCTAAGGAAACACATGGTACAGAGGACCACCTGAGCAGCTCTCCTTGAAAGAAAAGCATTCGTCTCCATGTTGGCTGAGCCTGACCCTATTCCTTGTACTGATATGTACAGAGCTGGCTAGGACTTTTCCTTATTCTTTCAATTGGTTGTAAGCAATGCATATTGGTCTAGCAGAGGTGCTGGTGGTAGTCTTTGAAGACACATGCCTGTTACCCTAATAACCCCCTCCTGCTGCTCTTTAATATGACTGGGGATGAGACAGGATGAAGAGCCAGTGCTCCACACTGTCAGCTGGTATCGAGTCTCAAGGTACAGGCTATGACTTTCTGGGGCTTCAAAGATTATACATCAAAGCTGAAATACCAGACCCCAAGACATTAGATACTATCTCAATAGTATAATGCAAATTACCTTTTCTACATATCCTTCTCTCTGCATATGACAGAGGTAAATGCAGGCCTCCTACCTAGCCCAGCTCACAGTACTCACCTACTTCCTGCAATTCTCAGTCATTCATCCTCAAGCCACTCCTTCATAACTGAATAAAACCTGGATTCAGCCCTGGGTCAAGGTCTTTGTTCCAGATAGCCATCACCATGGCTGGACTTAGGACCCCTTAGCTCCCCATAACTATAAATATGCTTTAGTGTCTTTATTCTCACTGTGGGTTACACTGGAAGTGGTAGATTGGAATTATTTTGGGATTCTAATAATTTATCCTTGGGATTACAAATATAAACTTCTTGGACCAAGAATAGGACCAGGAGGGGCTCCCTACAACATGGCAATTCTGTCTCATTTTCTGAGGCACTAGTATTTTTTTTTTTTTTTTTTTTTTTTGGTGGAACTGGAGATTGAACTCAGACCCTTGTGCTGTGGCTGCACCACTTTACATCAGCACCACTCCAATCCCTCCATATCTGTGCCAATACTTGTTATTTTCTATTTTTGGGATAGTGGCCATCATAATAGGTAAAAAATGATATTGCATGGTAGTTTTGTGTTTCTCCAATGATTAGTGATATGAGGATCCTTCATGTTTGCTGGCCCTTTGTGTCTCTTTCTTGGATAAATATCTATTCAAGATAATTGCCTATTCTTCAACCAGATTATGTTGTTGCTGGTCCTGATTTATGGAAGTTCTTTGGATATTCTGATATTAATCCCTTCTAAAATAAATGATTTGCAAATTTTTTCAAATTTGCAGATTCCATGGGTTGCCCCGCCCTCATACTGGAACTTGAATCCAGAGCCTTTGCATTAAGCTACACAGCCCTTTTTCATTTTTATTTTTTTTTATCTTGAGACAGGGTCTTGCTAAATTAAATTGTCCAGGTTGGGCTGGAACTTGTGACCCCACTGTGATCTTCTAGACTACTGGGACTACTAGGTACACACTATTGCACTAGGTTTTATACAAAAGGTTTTCTTTTTTCTTTTGTTCTTTTCTATCTTCTTTAAGAGTTCAGGCAGCAATCTTCCTGCCTCAGCCTCTCAAGCTAGGATTACAGGCATAAACCTAGCCAGAACCTTTTTTTTTTTTTTTTTTTT